CAAAAATTTTAAATTTCATAGAAAAACAAAACATATAGATATTAAATACAATTTCGTAAAGGATGTGGTTATACGAAAAGAAATGAACATGAAGTACATATCTACACACGATATGGTAGTAAATCCATTTACAAAGCCTATACTAAGAGATGCATATTATAAGCATTTTAAATCATTAGGTTTACGTAGGTGTTAAATGTACTAACATTTTATATATTTCTTAGCCATGTTCACTAGTTATGTTATTAATGAAAGACTTTTTTTTCCTCTTATTGCCTTATTTATATTTGTTGTAGGGCATACATATACAAACATGTGTACATATGTTGTATACATCTATACATTTAAAGAAAACATGTCGGATAGATATAAGATTGACCTTCTCACACAAGCAATCGACTTTATTATTTGGTATAGTAAAGATGAGACAAATTTAAGCTAATTACGTAGGTGGTAATTGAGAGCCAACTTAAATATTAATAATTATCACCACTTATCAGGGTGAATAATTAAGTCATTATAAAATTACTAAGTTTATGACACTAGGTGAATAATTTAAAAATTATAACTTTATCTGTCTTACTGTCGTATTAGAGTTCTAAAGAGTTAAAAAGATATGTAAGTGAACTCAAGTTAGATATTGAGTATATCTTACTACAATATATATGGTATTTATAAGAAATAAAAGACATGCACTCTAGGGAAAAGGAGAGAATACCGTAACATATGATTCATATCACGTGTGCAATTAATTTGACCAAAGGGAAATAAAAGTGGGATCTTAACTTGAATATTATGTGAGACCCTGAGATTTTAAGATAATCTTATCTAATACCTTCATGACTCTAATATGTTTTCTTAAATCTTTTAGTTAAGGCTTATTATCTTAGGATATAACTAAAGGGTCATAAATGATTGGTCCAATGGAATATCTATGGAAAAATGAATTAAATAAATGGTGAGAGAATCAAGATAAGAGGAAGATCACAATTTAAAGAATATATCATATTATTGATGTACATTCATTGGTCGACCAATTATGTTTATCTATGCAAAAACATAATTATGAATGTACTCAATTTATTAGTTAAGTGAGATTGTTAGAGACATAAATGTGATATGTGATCTAGGGGTATAACATACAATTACATACTTCAAGCTTCACTATTCGATAAGCTATATACTCCTAAAAGTTATATAGTTAAAGTGATCTCAAAGTGTGCATGGTCACAGGACCTATTTATATATTTTGTAGAATTAGAGAGAGAGGTGGTCCCATCACGTGTGAGTGGGAGATATTGAATTTAATTAGGTGGGTCACCCATGATTGGACCCGACCCGATTAGGATAACCTATTTATTTAAATTCAAAATCAAAATTTTGGTTAATTACCACATCTAGTGGAAGTTACCCTTTTTGAATAATCTATAAAAAGAAAAAGATAAAAAAAATAAGAAAAAAAAATACAGAGAAAAAACTTACTCTCTCCCTCTCTCTCTCAAAAAGTTCTACTTCTATGAAGAAGAAGAAGAGATTTTTGGTTGCGTTTTTTCAAAATTTTAGATTTCTATAAGAGATATTTATGTTGTAAAAATTTAAATAGAGTTTGTTATGCGTTAATATGATTGTGTGTGATATTATGCAAAATAATCTTTATAACATAGTTACAGAATTGATTTGTGAATTATATGTTAATTCTATAAGTTTCTAACATGTTTAAATTTCATTCTAATTTCATTTAAAATTCATTTTTGTCATGTGTGCAGTGATTTAGGATATTTTGGTTGATTAGTGAGGTTCTGTGCAAAAGAGTTTTGTAAGTATCACTTCGTTCTAAGCCTAGCTTTGGGATTTACATTTCCATGCATGATTTTAGTTAATTGTTTGCTTGAGATTAGAACAGGTGAAGAAAACTGAGAAGAACAAAAACCTAGACATTGTCTAGGCAGTGTGAACCTTTTAGGATGGCGTTTATGACATTTGATATGTGATGTTTGCATGCTTATATTCCTATTTCCTTGGCGATTTATGGGATTGCATGACTATTA